TAGACAGCGTCGTAATAACTGTCATGTCATAACATCACTTCGTTCCATAGTTTGGTATCTCATGGATAGTTGTAAACAAGATACATTGCTCTCATTGCTAAATTGGTAATATAAGATTTGACCAGTTCTTTTTGAAACGCCGATCAAGGTTATAGGTGAATTGATTTTTTGGTGTTACTGAAAAGAATGAGAACTCAAATCGTAAAGGCGATTCTATACATGACAAACCGAAATGCCCTTACGAGTTCCTTTTTCTGTCAGTCGCACCAAAATATTGGTTCAAAATCACTTTGATTTTGATGCCAAAAAAAAACTGGTCAAATCTTGTGATAGCAGTTTTTCGGAACTCTTTTTCTTCGGTAGGTTCCTGGTTTGAATAACCAAAAATTAAAACTGGAGTTGCTTTCGAAGTGCTATTTAATGAATAACTATTTCATCTGTTTATTTTATAACAGCGTAACTGTCTCCAAAATTAAATATTTACCATTGCTTCACTGGTTTCATTGACAGGTCAGCAACTATCTTTCTACCGTCGTTAATTAGCTATAAATTCTTATTTTACTACAACATTTCTAGCAGGAAATCTAAATAATTTGAAAAATAATCTGTTTCAAATTTAAGTAATTTAAGAGATTTCAAGTTCTTGTCATTGTACAGTCCGACAAACTTGCAGAATTGTCCTTTCCTACACTCCTGCTTCTTCTGGAAGCTGGGTAATTATACAGGAAATGCTTGATTATATATTTTTCTTGTAAGTTCCTACAACTTTTACAAAGAAAAAAAGGAATGCGCAGTTTCCCTTCAATGAGTTCCCTAGATGTAGTCTATATATGAAGCCGACGTTGAATGGGAAATTACACGTAATTTGGGTGCGTTTAATTTGTTATTAGTTAGCTCAAAAAAAAATTAAGGTAAGTATTTTTTAACAATGTCCAGGGGAACAAGATTAATACCCCTGAAAATTTAACCAGAGAAGCAAATCGATTCAAACCAAAACAAATCGGTTTTTATTTCCTTCAATATTCTTATGTTTGAGAATTAAGATGAAAGTGATATCAGCTAGTTGCTCTGACTGACCAATTTCTGCTCTGAAGTTTTTAACCAGATCTTATTTTAAGCTGAAGGATTAAAAGAAAATGATCAAAACTTGTGAACACTACTAGTTATACTAGTTACAAGAGAACCAACGATTAGTTTGCTCTTAACGTCATCATAAGTTCTAACCAAGAGATTTTTAAAATTTTGAAGCTAAAGGACAATAAGATCAAGTGACTTCTTTTTTACATGACCAAAGTGATAGCTAACAGCACCAAAAACACTATAAAAACAAAAGTACTGGGTAATTGTACTAATAAACTGAAAACAGAAAAACAAGACAGAAAATAATAAAATGTATAAAATTTCCGAACTTAAGAATATATACCTCTCTTGCTTTTGTATCAAAAATATTTACCGCTACTGATTCAAACGGTATGATTGCTTTTCAAACATGTTCGTAGCACAACTGCAGTAAAACTTATCAAAACAAATAATAATACAGGCGTGTATGCATCATTATGCATTATGCAGGCTACAAAAACTCCAGCAAAAGGTTGGTTGCAACCGAAACGAACATCCAACAAACCAACAGCACCAAACTGAGTTGTGCACCATAAAACAGCATTTCCGGTGGAGCAATTCATACTATAAATCCACTTGCAATAGCTGCTGCTTTTTGTTGCTGTTGTGCATGCAATGGTATGTATGTGTGTGAGTTAATGTAATTGTATGAGTGGCTCATACTACGACCACCATAAACACGAAGTTAAGAGCGAACGAATAAATTAGGTAACGCCCCGGTACGTGACTTTCATCACTCGAAGGCGGGACAGAGCTCCACACTTAAGCAATTTTGAGGGAAAAAAAAATAATAAGCAAAAAAGAATTGCATGAGAAAATAGACGAAAATTTGCAAAAGACTAGATGTTGTGCTCCAGTGCAAATGGGGAAGAAACTGCAGGGAAGTATCGAAGTGAACGTACGAGTAGTTGCAATGCAATTACCTCAACTTACGCCAGCACACATGTTTCAAAGAAATGTTGAAATATTTTTGAAAAATTTCGTTCACTTTTTACACTCCAAAGTTTTGTTTTTGGCAAATTTACAGGTGCACTTCCCAGCGATGAAGAGGTCCTTATGAAGTCACATCAAACGTGTGCAAATTGTTGAATTTCGTCTACGCTTTTTAGACTTTTTAGACTTTTCAGACAATTGTCATTTGGTTAAATTTTTCATTACATTTTATTATTTTCTACGGTATTACGGGAACTTATTTTATTCTTCCAAGAACAAAAAAACTTACTGTTTGCTTTATCCTTTCCAACTTCTCATGCAGGCACGCATTCAAGCATGCATGGCAAACAGTTTTTTGCATATTTTTGCTTGTCATGTCAAGTTTTGTCCTATCTAAGCATGCATCCTTTTAACAGAAAATTGAAATATTTTCTAAATTGATTTTGTTATATGAAAAAGTACTGCAATTTGGTAAAAATGTAAACTATTGCGGTAAATGACTGTCAGGTACTTTTCGGCATTCAAATATACAATGAATTTTTATTTCAAATTACAATGAAATTGAAATCCATTGACATGAATCAAGTGTTGTCTAAATAAATAAATAAGTTAAATAAGTTATATATTGTACTAATGTACTATATAGGAACAAATACTCAAATCTCGAATTAGAAACATTATCTACTTATATTTCTAAGTCTCGGATAATCAAGGCTGTGATCGGCATTACTTTTTTAGTGGTTGTTTTCAATGGACTTTTAGCAACACTTATAAAACTAGATGATTTCGTTTGTAGTTTTTTCATATACATTAAAAAGTCATCCGACTTCGGGTTCCGAACTGATTCGGTTAAATTCCGCTTCATAGTTCTGGAGAATAGCAGTAAAATTTATAAGAATTATTTAAATAAACACGATTGTCAAAATTCGTTGCTAAAAAATCGGAAGTTAAGTAGTGTTATGCTCCCTTACAGTCTCAACTCTATTGTCAATGTTAATATCTCAATATTTAGATGATATAGCTACTCTCACAAACAAATAAATAACCTCACAAGCAATACTCTCACAGATATTCCCACAAGCTAATGAGTAATCTCTTGACAACCCAAACAGGCTAACATAAATATAGGTCCACTATTCAAAGTAAAAAAAAAGCAACACAATGGTAAAAAATTATCACTGATATATACCATAAACGGTTCAGTAATGCAATGAATAATTTACATCAATCAGCATCATATTCTCTTGTATAGGGAATCCATCTTTATATAGGTCTACTAATTAAATGCACAAAATTAGAATATTACCACTGGTAGATACACTCTCGTAAATGTAAATATTTTAAATCACTCGGCATCAAATTCCCTCGTACAAGTGCTCCCACCCAGACAATTTTAAGAAGTTAACTACAGCTAATGGAAGGCATACTAAAACTAATTTTAAAGTAAACTAACTATACGAAACTGGAGTGTTTGATTCATCCCTCTAAAAAATATTAAGCTTTTTTAATTGAAGTTCCTAATGGAATAGAATTGAATACAAATATTTTCTACTACAAATCAACTCCAACTGAAGAGAAGAAATTGAGCTCTTCGAATAAAAGTAGAATGACATTCTGCATTCTATTGAGAATTTTGTTATATCATATCTTCTGCTCAAAAAGTACTGCTCAAAAAGTTGTACCTAGAAATCACATATATTTTGAATAGGAGACGCTATTTTGGCTTCTCAATTATACCCATGTCATTGAGATAGTAACGCTGGCTGTAGTAATCCATCACATAACCTGCCAACAGTTTTAGCTTTATTGTGTTGAAAAGGGTCTCTGTATCTTGGGGATAAGTATCAATCAGCTTTTTAGTCTAATAATTAACCAGATTTACGCAACAAGGTCGATTGCTATTAATTACAATCCATTCTTTTATTAGTGACTTAGTTGTCGACCAAGTTATACTCCAATAAGGTTCTACTTCAAAGAACTAAATAATTAATCTAATGCTTCGCAGATTCTTCTAATGAGAGAAATCCAATAAACTTATCACACAATAATATAAATAATATATAATTGAACTTATTTCAAATATAAAGCTGGTAGGAATGAACACCAAGTTAAAGATTGCAAACAGCTCGCTATTTTTGAAAGATGAACTAGAGTAACTGTTCAACTATCAAACTGTTATCCGGTATCTTTAAATCTAAGGCAGATAAGTCACGTTATCCATCAACTAGATGATAGCATACTTAAATGGATGCTTAAACAATAATTCTATGGTATTCTATGGTAACTTAAACGGGACAAGTCACATTAGAGGTAAGACGAATATTGTGAATTCGATACGTTGAGGAAGTAAAAAAAAATGTTAAGGAAGCTTCAATGTATACCACGTTTTAATAGCTCAGATGGATTACTTTAATACTACGCGAATAATTGTGATAATCTGTGTCATGTAAAACAATAAATTTATTGTCTGTTTCGACATCTAAAACTCTAATAATCAGAGTCATGTATTTTTTTAGAAATATTTATCAATTTAAAGTATTTTATAGCTCTATATTCAAAAGTATCTAAGTATCGATGAGTAATACAAACTTGAAAAATTGATTTCATAATATATATCTACAATCATAATTTCTTGTAAATAAATAAAAAATTTATAACATACGAGTATTACAGCGTTTCAGCTATATAATGTACATACGTTTTCTTGGCAATAGAATATCATCTCAATAAATTGGCATTGAAAACTGCAGTACCTGCATAAGAAAATTAAAATTAATTAAATAGAAATTACATTATGAACATAATTTAATTTATTTGCCGATAAATAAGAGCACTTATCATTCCAAGTAATTAATATCAATCACCAGCACCGATGATGATAAGATAAAAGATGAAGGCAGAAATTATAAAAAGCGTTGCTGATGGCTCGCTGGTTTAGAAAACTTAAATAAAAATGATGTCAAGAACGAATAGGTGGAGTAAAGTTATTTTATTGACATTGGCAATATTCTTTACTGCTACAATAACCATTAATGCAGCTGAAGAGTCGGAAGACCGCATCTCAGACGAGTACAGCAAGGCGGAATATTGTGATATTGCAAAATGTCAATTACCGAATTGTCGTTGCTCAGCACAAACTCTGCCGAAGCCTGAGTTTCAGGGGCATGAGAAGGAAATCCCACAAGTGCGTAAAAGTATTCAAAATAAAAGTATATTTTTTGATTATAAAATATATGAAATTTTTCACAGTTCATAACAGTTACTTTTGATGATGCGGTAAATATAATTAATTTCCCGCAATACCAGCAAATATTCGATGGATTGGTAAATCCTGATCACTGTCCAGCGCGTGGCACTTTCTTTGTGTCACATGAATACACTGATTACTCAAAGGTAAATGCACTTTACACGGAAGGTCATGAAATTGCTTTACATTCGGTCACACACAGCAGTGGTACCGATTATTGGCGTGATGCTGATGTGGATTTACTCGAACAAGAATTTGGTGGTCTCATTGATATGCTGGAGGCTTATGCGAAAGTTAATCGTAAACATATACGTGGCATGCGGTTGCCTTTCTTACAATTATCCGGTAACAATTCGTTCATAGCTGCAAAACGTGTTGGTTTGATCTATGATAGTTCATGGCCCACACAACGGTTTAGAAATCCAGCTATGTGGCCATATACGTTAGATTATCACAGTTTACAGGATTGTGTTATTAGTCCATGTCCTGATGCTTCCCTACCTGGTTTTTGGATTAATCCGATGGTTACTTGGGTTGATACGAAAGGTTATAGTTGTTCCATGATTGATGGCTGCATATATCCACCAGAAGATAATGAAGATGCACTCTTCGAGTGGATGTTGGAGAATTTCAAACGACATTATGAAGGCAACCGGGCACCATTTGGTATGTATTTGCACGCTGCTTGGTTCTCACGTCTACAACACGCCTTACCTGCTTTCAGAAGGTAACATTCAACTGTTGGCTAATATTTTGATTTTTATCTCCAAACTAAATGGCTTATATAATTCCAGATTTCTGTTACATGTCAACACTTTGCAGGATGTTTATATTACGACAGTAGCACGGGTAGTGCAGTATATGCATCAACCAGTGTTGGGCACTCCGTTCAAAGGTTGTGTTAAGAAGCCAAAAACTGAATGCACTCCTCGAAGTTGTGGCTTGACAAAAACTTCAACTGGTGAGATACGATACATGACCGTTTGCGGTAGTTGTCCACAAGTTTATCCTTGGTTGGGTAATCCTTTGGGAAAACATTAAACTCTGCTGCGTTTCATAATATATTTATAATAATTGCTAATTAATCACAATTATATGAAATTTATTCTCAATTAGTTAAAGTAGCAGCAGTTCGTAATTCGTGACTTCTAAGCATTTGAATTGTTTTTTTTAAATAAATTTTGAAAGTTGATTCGGTTTTTGAAAGACTTATTTATTATTTGTTTAAAGTACATATTTTCTTAATATAATTTTATTTACCATTAAACATCATTGCCAAAGCACGCAGTAAAATTTTCCAGATATAAATTTAAGTTTTCTTCAGGGTATGTCAAATTTTGTTTATGATAAATGACACATAAACAAACTTTGGTTGAGACGGGAACTCCACGCAAGAGTGCAAAAGTACACGTACGTGCTTAAGGTGCTTGACTGACTGATTACGTACAATGAAAAAAAACGAAAGCATACTTCTAAGCGTAAAGCAAGAAAAAATATAGTGAGTATCATGAGTATCTGCCACAGCACTTAAGCAACAAATATAAATAAGAAACCGTTTTCAAATCATTTTTGTTGTAAAAATATATATTTATTCCTTTTGATCCTTGTTACGAGTCAACATACATTGTGACCGAAAGGTTTTCGGAAATTCTCATTTAAAATTCGCGCGCTGTATATTTTTCGATATTTTA